GCCAGAAATCTTTTAATTTACTATGGTTACAGTGGAACACAACAATCGAATTTTCTGAAAATTCGTCTTTTGAAGTTCCTTTAATCCGGACAACAAAAGAAACATTGTCACAAGATTCAGCGAGCCTCAAAATTTATGCATCATGTACTTTTGCGGTTCCCACACTTCGAGTTTAGCCAATAGGTAGGTCCCAGAGATTGCCAGTAGCGCCAGAACCACGGCAGAAGGTGGCTTGGAACTTGCGCCAGATTGTTTAGCGACATCTGTTGTATATCTACATGTGTTTAGAGCAGTACTTTGCTATGTAGGTTTTTGGAGCGACAGTCTCGGACATTTTGTATCGAAAGGTACCCTATGGTAGACTTGTTGGATTTGGGTTGATTTAGTGTAGAATGATGTCCCAGGCGTTCTCTTCCATAATCCGAAAACCACAGGTCTCTAAATCTTACCACTCAGAAGTTATGCAAAAAACATCAGAGTGCTTTCTATTTTGAAACGGATAGTAGTTTATTTGCTTAAAATAGAAAGTGGTTATACCATACAATGATTATATTGAGCTAGGAAGAGTGAAATGGGTAACTTTCTTTGTCTAACAAAATTGATCACACAGCTGGATTTTTTAATATTTTGCATAGTAGTCTTTAGTTTTAATCTGACAAAACGAGCGCATTTTGTGCTCTTTTCGCTCGTATGTAGGTCAGAATTTTAAACCAAAGAGTAGAGAAAAAGGAAACAAAGTACAAAACAGTCAGATGATTTGACTCAATTTAGCATAGAATTATGGCTTCCGGTGTCCGCTTCCATAGTCTGAAAAACTCGGGTCTGTATGTCATTTCCTTCAAACGGTATTGAAAAAACATCCATGGTCTTTATATTTTGAAATAGATAGTAGTTAATAATGCAAACTAGTAAAAGTTTCACTTTTACCGACTTTAGATGCCACCGGTACTGGCTGAAAATCGATGTGAGTCATGAATGCGTATATAGATTGAATATTTCTTTATGCAATTATGACAGGTAAAGGCGATTTTTATTACTTGTCATAAATGTTGTTACAAAATATATTAGTATGGGAATCATTTTCATGCTTGCTATTCTGTCAAACGTCATTTTCTCAGAGAGTACACATTTTTTTTTCTACCACTACATGTACGGAGCATAGTGGTACATTATAAAGCGATTACGTGACGTATAATATTGAAAGACATATTTTTGAAAGAGTATTTTAAAGAAATATAGTTACCTCTCTTTTTTTCTTTTGCTGTTCTATCAAGTTCGTTTTCAGATGAAGCAGGAATTTTTATTCTATAATTATTATTTGGAGAATGAAACAGCATTCGCTGATTTTTGTCTCCACTTCAGTCATTTTCTTCGAAGAAGTAACTATACACGAAATTCCATTCTCTATGTGTAATGAATATTTTGTTGTTGTGTAACTTACCTAAGGTAATTTTCAAATTATTCAAGAATGAAAATTATTAATTTTCGCTTTTGTTTCAGTGCTAGATAATTGCACTCGACTATTGATGTGTATTTTTATAAATGAGTTGAAAAAAGTAACCTGTCTAATGCTACGTGCAATGCTCAAAACACTAATGGTTCTCGGAATCATTAGTATTGCATGAACTATTTTCAACAAATTAATAATTTATGACTAATACTCATATTGTTTGGTACTATATTAAGCATAATACTTCATTTTTATTTTTAAACAATTTAGTTACTTCATCAGTAATAGTACGCGCCGTGAAAAGTCAAGAGAAAGATTTGTTTTATTCTCGTCATTGTTCTCACCGAAGGCGGATCATCCAGTACGTTGAAGGCTCTTTGATTTCATGGCTTTGGAGATGTATAGCGTTATCGATTAGGGGATAGTAGGAGATGGCATACCACCCCCTCGTTTGGATACAGTTACTCAGAAAATTTTGACTTACTCGAATTTTTTAAGAAATTTAAGTAGAGAGACTGCCTTTTATGCACCTGAGTAAGTGATTTTCTGCAGCTTCTGAGTGACTTATTCTCTTCTGAGTAACTGAGTAGAAAAAGATTTTAGTCGAAAAATGCGTTACTCAATGAAAAATTTTAGTTACTCAGCAGGCTCGCCGCCCCGCACCAAAACTACTATGGAAAACACTAAAGATGTAAGTGTTTCATTTCTTTTTCGTAAACTGCTAATAACTCCAGATCGTAAATTTATAATCTACTCTGGGGCATTGGATGAAGTTCATTAAAAAAACATCCATTAAAACGTTTTTTTAATGAAAGTACCGGAACTTTTATTAAAAATGTTTTTAATGAAAGCCATGGTACAAAAAGAATTTTGCTCGCAAAACATGAAAAACCAATCCCTTTATGCAGAAAGGTTTTTATAGTTTTCACGAAATTTTTTGAAATATATGCAGAACGAAAAAAGTGAAAAACTTAGGTGTTAAACGTTCAAAAGCACTTTTATCAGTTTTACCAATGAATCTATGCAAAAGTCGCCATCGAACGATATACAGTTCGCCATGTTTTAAAAAGAAAGTTTTCGTCATCATTTTTAGGAAATCACTTGGGGGAGAAGAACTAAAGCAAAATTTCGAGAGAAACATTTTGTCTGCCTTCCCGTTTGATCCCACAGCGTTTTTCGGCGTACCTAATCTAGATAGCACGGTCTCCCAACTTGAATCGAATCGAATAAACTGCAGACAGTTTTCATATGAATTGAAGCATATTATGATCCGTTACAAAAAAACTTCATTCGATCGAGTCAAAAATTTTATCCGTGACGATAAGTCAGACAGATAGTTTTGTTTTATTCTATCCGATCTTCCCTATGTGAGTTATAGAATTTCATCCAAAATTAAAATCCGAGGTTTGACCTAGCGTTTCTACCATGTTTTACATCTAGGAAGGAACAACAAAAGGCAGAAGAAAACAAAACTACTTTTCTGAGATACCGTCACGGATAAAATTGTGGACTCGATCGAGTGAAGTTTTTTTGTGGCAGATCTAGGGATAGTATGTTCCCATTACTTTACTCTGAAAAGTAACGGTTTTAAATAACGATAATGAAAATTCGTTAACAGTAACGAGTAATGGAAATTCGTTACTTTACAAAGAAAAATAAAGGTAAAATATTCTTTTTGTTGTTTCGACAACTCTTTATTTATTTTGTTAAACTTCTCTAACTGATGAAAAACATTTTTTTTCAAATAATTCATGTTTCTACTTTGAAAAGTGTGCCAAATCTAAGATTTACCTTTTCTGAAATAGCATTATTCTCTGAAACAGAAGCTGAGTAATTTTATAAATAACTGTAAAGAACATATGCTTGAACTGAAATCTCATGTTAAGTGGTAAACACGAGTTCTGTATACATTAGAAAAACCTTGGCAGGGTAGCACCTAAAAGTACTAAAAGGTGGAACTCCCAATACTGAGACGTCTGATCTTAAAAAATTAGTTCTAAACTGAAATAAAAGTTTAATATACTAATGAAATTTAAAGAACATGGGTAAAACTTTTTTTTAATCAAACAGTTATCTTTGGCTATAAGCTGGAGTATATGAATGGTTTTTTCTGGAATTTCGTTTAATATAGACCGTTTGTTAATATTCGAAGTTTGATGCTTTTTAACATAACTCGTTCCGAACCATTTTAAGAGACTGTGACTACCACTTTAAGAGGTTGTGTGAGCCTTTTTAAGAGCTTATGTCCTCCAGAAGGGAGGCAGGTTGACCAAATTTATCTTAAAAACAGCGAGTTTTGGGTATAAAACTATTACTTCGTCTTCTTCGAAGATAGTGAGGGAGTTCCACAATATACTTGTATCACAAACTAACCAAAATCTATCCTTTAATTCAATGTTTCTATGAGTTTCAACGGGCTAACAAATAAGTTAAAGGGTTATTTCAACCAAAACAAAAATAATGCACCCGTTACTTTTCCAGAAGTAACATGAGCGATAGATTTTCGTTATTTGTAAATCGAATATAGAACTGCTATGAATTTTTTTCGTTACTCGTTTTAACGAATAGATTTTCGTTACTCGTTGCTGTATCGATAGAGGGAAAGTGCCAGCCCTAGGCAGATCGTAATGTACTCCAACTGAAATCATTAGTGCTTTGCGTATTGTATATAACATTAGACAAGCGTCTCTTTTTCAACGCATTTACAGCAATGATTATATCCACATCAGCCTATGTTCAACTCAAAATCGAAAACTTTTTCAAAAAAGGGACAACTACCTACTAATCATTTTGAACTAAGCATCGAAAGAACGACAGATTTATACCAACTAACTCTAATACAGTGTTTTCTAAAGGCTCTCTCCTGGATACTGTAGTCAGAGCAGAATCTCGCTGGTTAATTAACACTTCCTTATTATACGTTTCAAGGTAAAGGTTTCTTTGTTTAACTGCTAGAGATCTGATGTACCTACTGATTATCATCGAATGAGTACTTAAGAAGATACTTCTTTTTAACAGTCTCCTAATTACACTTCTTTTCGTTACCGATAAAAATGGATATTCTCATAAAAATTATTTAGTTTCTCAAGAAGTGGTGATTGAAATAAATTTAGCCGATCAACATTCGAGTTCAATTATATAACATTGAAACGAAGGCGAAAAGTAATAATTTTTCATTTTAGAATAATTTAAAAATTACCTTAGGTAAACAACAATAAAAAAATTCACTATATTTATTTACAATGAATTTGGTCAATTTTCATAGTGTTGAGCTTATGGATAATTTTGAAATCTTTTAACAGAGAGAGAAAGAGCAAAGAAAACACTTTGATAATCAAATGGCTTTTACTTTTCATGAATAACATTATTGTGTTTTTTAGTAACCTATTGAGTTATTACATTACTAGTCTTCAATTTACTTTATACATTTTTTTCGAGCTCACCATATATAATTTTTTGTACATTATGTAAATAGAAGGAAGAATAATCATTTTTCTTTTATAAAATTTACCTTGAAGGATAAAGACGCAAAAAAACAAAAAATTTATTCATGGCTTCCAAAGATAAATGTACATATCCGTTAAGTCAACTATATATTGCTTGTCAAGATGGTAATATAGATTTGGTTAGACAGTTGCTCGAAGTAATAAATCTTGAACAAATCAATTGCAGGGAGTCTAATGGAAGTACAGCACTACACGCCGCTTGTTATTACGGTCACTATGACATCGTTAAATTACTACTTGATAATGGCGCTTGTCGAACGATTCTGAACGCACATAAATGCGCACCATTTGATGAAGCGAAAGATGATAAAATTCGACAATTATTTTTACGTCCAGACAATGAACGATTTGTTGGTGGTAATCAAACAGGACAAAAAGAATGGATGAAAGTTGATCCAGACATTCATCGTCAAGCCATCAATAAACGTCTTTGGCTGAAATCGGCATGGAATGAAACAAAAATGTTAAATAGAATTGAATGGATGATTGACAACTATCTTAGAGTCAAACTTCGTAATCCAAAAGATTTTCAACTTATAGAAAAATATTTTAGGCAAGCCTTAGAATATAGAGATCCAAGATATTTCATCACAGCGTATACAGCAGACACCCGATATTATCATCAGTTGAATGAAGATTTTGCCTCAGAAGGCTTTGAACCACATGAATGGACAACAAGTATGCCACAATGGATTGTTAGTTCACTCTATAGCCATCCGGCTTTCGATAAATACTCCTATAAAGGTTTTTCGTATCGTGGACAGAAAATGAGCGATGTTGATCTTGTCCAATATGTGCAGGGTAGTTGTATAATGAATAAATCGTTTCAATCAACATCGGAAATACGAGCAATTGCCGAAGAATTTGCATGTGATGGAAGATTAAGACGGACAATTGATGGTAATAAACTTAAACGTACTGCTCTATTTATCTTCGAAATACGAAATAGTCGAACAGCGTTGAAAATCGACAAAATGTCGGTGTTCGAAAATGAAGCAGAAGTATTAATATTACCTTATGCTGCATTCAAAGTGGTCAAAGTTATTCAGAATCCACCATTATCATCACAAAATAATAAGAAATTATTTGCCAATGATTTAGAATTTGAAATTCATTTAAAAGAGTGTAAATCGTTGAAGAAAGAAGTTGAACAAAATTTGAAATTTGCATTTACAAATGCTCATCAACCGGCAATGTTAGATGATGATGAATTAGAACGAGAGTTGAACTCATTTAGTTTCTAACATAAGTCAAACATTTGTTTCTCAATACTATGACATATATAGTTGGCAAAGAACTAGTTTCAACGTATCAATAATCATTTACAGATTTTTGCTCAGAAAGTTGTTGTTTTAAACCGTTTTATTCAAAAGAAGAGACAGCAAATCTGGATAAATAAATGAGAAAAATCTGATAGAATTCCAGTAGAAAGATTCTTATAAAGAGAGTCTTCTAGAACTAGTATTAACTTGATGGTCATCAATAATGGCTTACTGAAAACTCAAAATGACGAATGTGTCATGGATTGACGTACAGTCAGAGATTAGTTTTTCAATATTACATCCAAATCTGAATGAGATTATACGCTACTACCAGTATCTCAGACGACGCGACGATATTAATATATTGTTTTTCAACTTATTTTTATGTAAAATGCTGGAAATTCCATAGGTGAGTACTGTCTTATTTCCGGCTATTTCATACATCATTTGAAAGAGCGCATCAAGCTGAGTAGGAAAAAAACTGGTCTTAGTTTTCCAAAACATTTTTCAGGTCCAACAGCCTTAAAAACTTGAAGGATCTGATTTTTCGAAAAACGCATATGTTTTACAAGTAATTCAAATCGTTCTTTTGAACTTTTCACATTATATTTTTTTCTGATTTGACATCCAAAATTGATTCTAAAAATGATATTGAATCGAATGCGGAAGCATTAGTCTTTTGAAATTACTTATCCAAAATCGCACCTCTCAAAACGGTCTAGATCATTTTGTAAACTCGCGGGTTTCGCTATTCGATAGCCAAGACTTAAGAGCATATTTTCGTAAGCAGATAAATATTTAAAATATTTTTTCGAAAATCGGTTTTCAAGAAGATCTTCAGAAAACGGATTTTCAAAACTTAGAGTTTTTCCCCCGTTTCAGCTATTATTAAAAAAAATCAAAGTCCACTCAAAAAACATCAGAACGAGTTCAGAGCTTCAGGATATAGTTAATTCTTCCCACTAGACATGATGACACAATTGAAATAATTAAAAAATGATATTTTTGTCCGGAGGTTTTCTATAAATCCTTCCGAAAAACTATAGACTTTTTTAAAATTTTTGCTTGTTGATTTCTTTTAAATAGAATATAAAACAGCCTAAATACTGTATATCTTGAAGTTCTGAACTCTTTCTCATGTTTTTTGAGTGATCTGTGAATTTTTTTAATAACAGGTGAAAACAGGCGGAAAATCCTAATTTTTGAAAAACGTGATTTTCGCTAGATTTTAAAATCTTTTTTTTTAAAAACAAATATTGTCACGAGATTTAGCATAGTCGAAACTTCTGTATCTAAACATTGATGAGATTCATTGACTGAAATGAAGAGTAGACCTAGGACTCCAGAAAAACTTCGTAAACATGAGAGATGAAGCTCTCGCTTAGATTCTGTTTTATGGAGCACACACTTTAGTCTATCTATTTATGAAAAAAATCAATATATTTATTGCTCTGTCGAATTTTCCAGTTAGGAAACGGTTTGCCAGAGATCTCCTTGAAAATTGATTTTTGAAAAAAGCTTCTAAATATTTTCTGCTTATGAAAACATGCTCTTAAGCGTTGACTATCGAATAGCGAAACCCACGAGTTTACAAAATGATCTAGTACCGTTTTGAGAGGTGTGATTTTGAATAAGAAATTCCAAAAGACTAATGCTTCCGCATTCGATTCAATATCATTTTTAGAATCAATTTTGGATGTCAAATCAGAAAAAAATATAATTTTTAAAAGTTCAAAAGAAAGGTATAGAAAGAAATTTGAATTACTTGTAAAACATATGCTTTTTTCGAAAAATCAGATCCTTCAAGCTTTTTTAAGGCTTTTCCACCTGAAAAATGTTGTGGAAAGCTAAAACTAATTTTTTCCTATTCAGTTTGATGCGCTCTTTCAAATAATGTATGATATAGTCAGAAATAAGATAGTGTTCACCTATTGAATTTCCAGCATCTTATGAAACAATTTTCTAAGATAAATTAATCTTCTAAAATTTACAACAAAAAATTCAAAAAAAAAACAACTAAAATGAGATATTTCTATTTACATAAATAGACAGTTTTTAATACTATCGATTAATTAGTGGTTGTTCATGTTGTCTCAATAAAATCAATGGTTGACCATTTCTTGGATCGGTTGTTGTATAGTGTTTTTTCGTCGGTGTTAATAATCGTACCAAAACACGTCGAAACGTATAAGATATACAATAATAAATTGTAAAATTTGTTGCCGAATTTAATGTCACAAAAAAGTCTGTAATTTCTCGAATAGTTCGTTTTCTATAAGATTCTTCAATATAACCCATATTTAATATTAATGATAAAAGAGCATCAGGAAAATAAGACATAATAAAACAGAAAATAATTGTGATTAAACTTATTGTTAAACGATAAAAAACTTCTTGTGAATTTTTTTGCTCTTTATTAAACATACCTTCTTTTACACGACATAATAAATAGACAATTCTTGAATTAATATATACAAGTAAAAGACTGGGAATAATTGCTCGAATAAGATCAACAGTTATTGAATATAATCGAAAATATATACTTTTACCAAATGTTGATAATTGTAATGATTTTACTTTTTCATTAGTAAAATTATTTCGTTGTGTTTCAATAAGTTCATAACGAATTGAAACTGGTAAACCAAGTAGAAGACTAATCAAAAGTATTGTACAACAAATAATTTTTGAATATTTTTTAAAACATGTATCAACAACTGGACGACTTTGACTAGTACATAGAATATATCTTAAAAACAAACACAGAAAAAAAAAAATCAAGTTGATTTTCATAAAGAATGTTTAACAGAGATCATATGATATATAACGAATTGGGCAGAGAAAATGATGCGTGCCATTTTGAAAATATTTTTCTCAAGTTAAACTTGATCAAAAAACTTCATTTTTATATCAGAAAGATAGAGAATTGTGTCTAGTTTTTTATTCATATGTTATTTTCAAAATAAGCATGTTCCATTCTTTTATAATAGTAAAAATACTTAAAGGTACGAAAATCTTAACTAGGCATGCATCAATTCTAAAACTGGTTTTTTGGTACATCATCGAAAATAATTGTATCTCTCAAATCATTTGTTACCAATTTTTATCCACAATGTGTGAGTGTATCGTCAATTTTTCTCTGCAAAACAGGCTATTTGAAAATTTTGTACCAGCATTAGATTAAACGTTATACTCTTTTTTTTTTAAGTGGAATTGATGGAGAATTGGTTAATATTTTTCTTGTTTTCGCCTTCTCAAATGCAAACACAAACTTCATTATCTATCTATTTATCTATATATATAAAGAAGAAAGTTTGTCTGTTTGTTCGCTATACGCTTCCACACCGTACGACTGATTTCGATGAAACTTTCCAGGAACCATCCTCTCATCCAGGGGAAGGTTGACGTCTACTTTTTGTCGACAAAAATGCGGTCCTAAAGTCGGAAAAGGTCCACCTATGTAGCCGACCAATCAGATTTCAGCATTGAATACCAAGAAAAAACAGCTGAAGCGCGCGTTCTGGAGGGGCACAGAGGATCGTTCTGGAGGTTTTTGAGGATGCTGGATCTGAATCTGAGCTTCATTTATCCCAGAAGTTCGTTGATTGTCTCGAAACTAATTGCAATTCAGCTACCTATGCATCTTCTTTTAGCTGCTGTATATGCAAAGAAGAATGTCAGCTGCCTGATCTCCTTGAGTTCAATTCCCTCTCTATGACAGCTAGCGTCGTCAAAGTTTCTGTGGCGCTTCTCTCGACGCAGAGGTAGGTCGATACGGGGTTGACACAATCGACAGGATAGAGCAGGAAACTCTGGGTGATATTTGACACAGTTGGAATGGTCTATGCTTTTTCGATCTCTGTGATTGCTAGCATGACTAAACTTCTTAAGGCCTGTCTTTAGGGTCAGGCGAAGGCCAAAGTTGTGGAGAAGGATAGGTTGGATGAAATGGCATCCACCATCGAGAAACTACTGTTTTCATTGGTTTTTCAGAGAGTTAGAAAGATTAATCACGATTTGAAATGCACTTATCTACCACTACTACCGTTGTGTTGTATGTGAACGTGCTGCTCCAAACTGAGTGTACGAGTAAAAGAAAGGCACATATACGCTATGCGTTGAATTGTCTGACTTGAGCGTTGGTGATTGTTAGCAACGCACGTGTACAATTCCAACCGATGAGATTTTTGTCTGTGAAGAGAGGGATGAGTCTGGATTAAAAGAGTATAGTGGTTGGATGGAGATGGAATAGAATTTGTCAGAATAGAAGTTAAGTGAAGTCGAACTAGACGAGATTCGAGTCAAGGTGGAGTCGGAGCTGAAGTCTGTTTTCCAGCTGTGATTCATTTCATCGATGGCAACAGACCGACCTGGACATGTTGTGTATGGCACAATGAACACACCTAGATATTGATGATTCTCCATTATTACAGTGAGAAACGGAAAAGTTGACAGACGCAAAACAGAGATTGACATCTTCAGCTCCGGTGTTGACAATCCATTATGGCTGAATAAAATTGGAGCTGGAGTGAGATTTTCAAAACGAAGATGAAGTTAAAATAGGCTGGAACGCTCGATAGACGGAGTTGTAGCTGAACTTTCAAGGCAAGAGAGCTGGGGTGAAAGCCGAATTCATAGTCGGATTTTTCCATCTCGAATATGCACGGCGGGACATGTTGTGTTGGTCTGTGTGACACTTTGGAGTGAATTTCTATCTGAGTCTCATACCACTTTCCAACACATACGATTCCCAAAATGGAGATTTTCCGACTAACATCGGGTATCTCTGCTAGTTTCTCATATTGTAGAGAAGAACCTGCCGAACAATCTGATGTATGCAAAAAACATATAAAACAAATAGTCTTAGAACAAGTAATTTTTTTTGAATAATTTTCAAAAAAGAATTGGTGCATGCCTTATCAACTGTAAAATCAGAAAAATTCGAAATGCAATTCTTTCCCCTTAAGTATTTTGCAAAAGTTTCGTTCAAGGCCTAAAAGACGCATAATTTTTCGAAGTATCTAACTGTGTGTTATTTCTTATTTTAAATGGTGAGCGTTTAGACGTCTCACCATCAACTGTTACCCATTCCAAACGACTCAAATTATACGCTTGTTTGTTACTGTTTTGTAAAATGGAAAACAGCAAAAACAACATCTTTGATCGATGAGATGATCCATTATTTTGGAGCCTTTCTGAAAGTCTTGACTTAAAAAAATTATTGTTTTTTTGTATCAAAAGATACAGAATTTCAAGTTCTACAAAATGCACTTCTTTCTATGGGTTCCAAATCGTTTTGGTAAAGGATAACAGAGTTGAGATATCTTCTTTAGAGGGAATGACGCAAAACATAAATAATGATCCAATTGTTGTAGACTGCTTCTACGGTTCTAAAACATTGTCCAAAAATATGGTTTTGCGCCTCGGCAATTAAGAATTTATCATAGTTTTTAGTACCGTGTTTGGATTGCGCGAGCAAAACTTCTGTGAAGATATAAATCTTTTTTTTTCCAGTGAAGTGCGTGCGCAGTTGAGATTTTTTAGGCTTTCCATATTTTGAGTACGGTGAAAAGATGACTAACCTCACCCTCTTTTTTGAAAAAATTTCGGATTTTGAGCTAAGCATAGACTAATGTAGAGAAAAGTGTGGGCTACAAAAATGAGATCACTCCCAGCACTCCTCGACCTTCCTTCAAAGAATGATGCATTTTTGAAGTTTTTCCTTTTTAACTTTCAGTTTTTTAGTTTCATAAACTTCTCTTTCCTTTTCTATACATTCCAGAATTTTCTTACCCATAGTCTGATAGAAGAAGTGTCCGATTAGTTTTTGTGGAGGTATATGCATCGCTGAAATGCCCTGAAAAAAGTGGCCTGTGTACAAAATGCGTTTTTTTCTCGAAAAGTATTTTTTTACTACCGGCCTTCGTTGGACCACCTTACGATTCCCCTTAAATTTCGTCCGATCCAGTTAAGAATTTTACAAGAGGTACTCAAGATTATAGCGCAGAGGTATTATTTTGAAATTTTCTTTTGGATCTTTCCTTACCGAATTATAGGAAAAATACCGAAATACTTTCAAAAACCAAGGTTTTAAATTTTAGAAACCCTGTAACTCTGTAAAGAAAGCCACAGTTTAAGGGGGGGATCGTAATGTGGTCCAATGAAAAATCTAGTTTTCTGGAAAACTGATGAACGGCAATAGTTAAAAACTTGAAACAAAAACGAAAAGTGTTCCATTGAATTTCTAATCAGTTCTGGAAGTATGAAGCCTCACTGACGAGGGAACCTATCCAACTGTCGGACGCCATTTGACTCCATATTTTGGCTATAAGTAGGACTCAGTGAGACTAAGAAAATCCTAAAAGGGTTCGGGCCCATG